CCCCCCCCCCCCCCCAAACATATTTTTTTCCACAGAAATGCATCTCTCATTATTTGTGAAGTGATGTCACCAGTGGGGGTTCATCCAAGTAATTCATCATGAAATTTGTTTTTGATTATAATCCTTTTTTTTTCTTTTTTGATTAGTCATGCAGCCCTATTCAAATGTGTGTAAAGAATGGATTTGGGATGCTGTCCTTAAGATCATGTGCCATCATGTACACATCACTGTCTGTGCTTCATCTAATGACATCATTGGCAATCCATCATGGGGTCCTTGAAACCTCATAAGACAACATTACCATGGGAACACCCCTTGTTGATTCCCTGAAATGGTGTTTTGGGCTGTAGGAACGTGTTCATCATGCTTGAATCATGTTTTACACGTCCTGTCTGTCTGTCTTTGTCTCTATATCAGTGAGAACACTTCCTATGTCTTTTGATGTTGTTGTCAAAGGTCATGTGTCCAGTCAAACTTCTGTATTTTGGCGCAATTTCATCAATAACTTGTTAGAGGCTTGTCAAATTAGACAGATCTCAACCTGGACAGGTTCTGCAACATCCTCATCCTCATAGATGGACCTGCACAGTTCATGGTCATATTCAGTTTTAAGCCCATTTTAATTTGCTTTTATTCAGTATTCTATTTTAGTGTTGCCAAAATAGCATATTGAATACATGTAAATAATGTAAATTAAATGTAAAAAAAACGTATATCTTAGTATACAAATGTAATATATTAAAAGTCCCATGTAAATTCTGGGCACTGAAGCAAAAACATGTTTTCTTTAATCTTTTGTAGTTCAAGGTTTTTTATATATACATATATATATAAAATATGACAGTATCATGCAACCTGTCCATGTCCAGATGAATCTGTGCCAAAAATGAAGTAAGGTTTCATTGAAAATGCAGCTGTTGACATTTGTAGGGCCCTATGAAAGCAGTTTTATTTTTGACCAAAGTCTGTTTTTTAAATTAATAAAATTTTCTGGATTCCTTTTTTCCATTTTTTTTTTTTTGGGGGGATTCAGTTTTAGTGGTTAAATGAAATCAAAAGGTATGTCTAATTAATTGACATCATGAAATTTGAATTCATGAATTCAACATGAATTTAGCAATAATTTATTGAAAATGTAACATACATTACATTTTAGGGCCATGTGAAATTCATTTGACTTATTTACCAAATTTTGTTTTATTTTTTTCCCAAATTCCTTTTTTTATTTTAGATTTTTGGATTCCATTTCGTCCATTTTTAGTTTTTGTGGATTTAGGCCTATATGTTACAATTAAATTAGGTGATGCATGAATTGATATAAATGACATTTTTATTTAACATCTACAATCACAGTATAACATTAAACTGATGCCTTGTTCTATTTATGACGTACTGACACAAAGTTAAAATGATTTGCAACTGTCACTTTGTCACGTCCAGTGTAGAGCTGTTGCAGCGCGTCATGACAACTGTAGCGTCCGGTATAGACACGGTGAGTGAAGCCGAGAGCAAGATATGCCTCGTCATATTTTCTGCATTTAGCTTTTAAATGACCAGCACCTGCCTGAGTCTGTGCCACTTCATCTATGGCTTTTCTCTTCACTTTCACAAACCGATCCATATCCCATTCTAAGTTACGTCCTTTGGCTGTTTACCGTTTTATTTCTTTTCTTTTTCTGCTGATGACCCGCCCTCGACTTGAAGCAGCGCTGCTTAGACCGATCGGTGTGTACCGAGAGCTATAAGAGAGCGCGGACGTCTCCTTATACTTTCTCTCGCTCGCCGTACTTTGATGTCATACACCGATCTGATCTTCAAGTCGAACACACCTCTTTACTCTCGTCACGTGACCATGTAATCGCAGCCTCTGCGATTGAAAAATCTAAATTTTTCATATCGCGATATTATTGCAAATGCAATTAATCGTTCAGCCCTAATACAAAGTCTGTTTTCGTGTTGTGATGTGTATATGATTTGATCATGCAGAATTCATATTTTCAATATTTAAAATGCTTAAAATTCACAGACACTAGTCCATATCGCAATTTGATTAAGTGTTCAGCCCTACTTTTGATTTATTCATCCAAAGTTTGCCACATTCTGTGACATTCTGCTTTATACATTAAATTCCATTATTATGACTGGATTCTGTGATGCTGTCCACGTTTTCTGCATTGCACAAATCATAGGGCCCTACATTTGTAAAGTTATATTTTATGCTTTTCATTTTGCTTTTACTGCAGTGATTTAGTAGGACTAGTCTTGACTAGTCCTCTGGTTCCTTTTCCTTTGTTGCTGTATTAGTTGTCAGCCTATTAGGTGGAGAACTCTGATTATTACGACAGAAATCCCACCCTGTCTCCCAGTCGGAAATGCTTCATGAAGTCACAGATCTGTCTGTCCTTTGTGTCTATCCATTTCCCCTCTCTCGATCCCACTGGGCGGTTCTGGCTGTTCAGCATCTCTGCTGTTGCCTTGAATGAGGAATGACATGTTTTGTCAGCTCTTGATGTGGCTGAGGCTGGAATCGCTTTACTGTCTTGTCATTTGATTATGTCCCGGTGGGGAATTAGTGGCATATTTACGTCCAGGCCGGCTGGGACATGTGCACTACAAACTCCAGATGAATAGCAGCACATGTTGTTTGAATTCGAGGAGTGGAGGCTGTTTTCTCAGTTTGCTGAATATCA